CAGAGAGATGAAACTGTTGCTGTTCAGAGGCAGAATCCCTTTTTCCTTGGGAAAAAAGTTGGAGTCTTCAACTGAATGGATGCCACCCACCCACGTTATTGAGGATATTCTGCTTTAAGTCAACTGTTGGTATATGTTAATTATATCTAAAAAATACCTTAGTAGCAACAACTAGGCTGGTGTTTCATCAAACAACTGGACACTATAACGTAGCCAAGTTGACACACAAAATGAACCATCACAGGCATAGAGCAAATTAACTAGTATATCCATACAATGGAGCTCTTTACCATGTATTACTGACTGAAAGAAAGCAAGTTACATGAAAGGTATAGTATGATCCCATTTGTTGCTTAAAAACAAAAAACATCGGGAGGATATAGATGCTACTTAAGTGGTGGGAGAGTTATGAGTGGTTATTATTTTTGCTTCCATATAATTTTAAAACTTTTATGATAAATGTATGTGTTTTTGTCTGTTACAAATATTTTCCCCCAGCTTTATTGAGATATAATTAACATGTAACATTGTGTAAGTTTGACGTTTACAGTCTGTTGACCTGATACACTTATATATTGCAATAAGATTACCACCACAGCATTATCTATCGTGTCACATGACTTCCATTTCTTTTTTTGTGGTGTGAACATTAAGATCTACTGTCTTAGCAACTTTTAAGCATCTAATACAGTATTATCAACTATAATTACTATCTTATACATTAACTCCCTAGAACTTATTTATCTCTAGCTGGAAATTTTACTTCTTGACCAACATCTCCCCATTTCCTCCAGCCCTCAGACCCTGGTAACTACCACTCTACTCTCTGTTTCTATGAGTTCAGATTTTTTTTAGATTTCACTTATAAGTATAATATTTATACAGTATTTGTCTTTCTCTGTCTGACTTACTTCACTTAGCATAATGCCCTCAAAGTCCATCCATCTTATTGCAAATGTCAGGATTTCCCTTTTTCTCATGCCTGAATATTTTGTTGTGTATATATACACACCACATCTTCTTTATTCATACATTGACAGACACCTATCATATCTAGATTTTTCATATCTTGGGTATTGTGAATAATGCTGCAATAAATATGGGGGTGCAGATATTTCTCTGAGACCCTGTTTTCCTTTCCTAAGGATATATACCCAGAAGTGAGATTGCTGGATCATATGGGGATTCTATTTTTAACTTTTGAGGAACCTCCATACTATTTTACATACTGGCTGTACTGATTTATATTCCCACCAACAGTACACCAGGGTTCCCTTTTCTCCACATCCTTGCCAACATCTGTTATATCTTTTTTTAAATAAGTTTATTTATTTTGAGAGGGGGGAGGGGCAGCGAGAGAGGAAGAGAGAGAATTCCCAAGCAGGCTCCACGCTGTCAGTGCTGAGCCTGATGCAGGGCTCCATCTCATGAACCATGAGATCATGACCTGAGCCAAAATCGAGTCAGATGCTTAACCAATTGAGCCACCCAGATGCCCTAACATCTGTTATATCTTATGGTCATTTGAACAGGTGTGGAGGTGATAACTCATTGTAGTTTTGATTTGTATTTCCCTGATGATTAGTGATGTTGAGCATCTTTTCATGTGTCTGTTGGCCATTTGTATGTCTTCTTTGGAAAAATGTTCAGTTCATCTGCTCATTTTTATTTATTTTTTAATGTATATTTCTGAGAGAGAGAGAAGGAGACAGAATATGAGCAGGGGAGGGGTAGAGAGAGAGGGAGACACAGAATCCAAGGCAGGCTCCAGGCTCTGAGTTGTCAGCACAGAGCCCAACGTAGGGCTTGAACTCACGAAGCACAAGATCATGACCTGAGCTGAAGTCGGATGCTTAACCAACTGAGCCACCCAGGTGCCCCTCAACTGCCCATTTTTAAGTTGGAGTATTTATTTTTGAGCTATTGAGCTCTTTATATATTTGGGGATATTAACCCTTTATCAGGTAAATAGTTGAAAAGTATTTTCTCCCATTTCATAAGTTGTCTTTTCATTTGGTTATTTCTTTTGCCATGCAGAAATCTTTTGGTATATTGTAATATGACTTACTTATTTTTGCTTTTGTTGTTTGTGCTTTTGGTGTCACATCCAAAAAATTGTTGCCAAAAGCAATGTCAAGTTTTCCCCGTTTTCTTTTAGGAGTGATATGGACTCAGATCTTACCTTTAGGTCTTTAATTCGCTTAGAATTGATTTTTGTGAGTAGTGTAAGATAGGAGTCCAATTTCATTCCTCTGCATGTGGTTATCTAGTTTCCCCAACACCATTTCTTGGAGAGATTATGCTTTCCCCATTGAATATTTTTGCCAAATATTAGTTCACAAAATATTTTCTTAATTATGAAAATGTTAGCTTAGCCATTCTTCCTCACCACCTCCTTCAGCAAAATTAAGCAGGCTTGGCAGTAAGAGCTTTTAAAGAGGCCATATGTTTAACCTGATATTTCTATTTCTCAGAATTTGACTTAGGAAAACAATCCAAGATAGAGTTAAAGATTTATATCTGATGATGTTCAATTCAGGACTCTTTGTATAATAGGATAAATTGTAACTACTCTAATGCTCCCAAATTAGGGGTTAGCTAAATAAATCATGCTGTTGTAATACCATGGAAAATTAAATTGTTGTTAAACATTCATTCTAACAAAGGGTGAGAAGGCTAAGTTTAGGAGGATATACAGTCACATGTATATCATCATGGTGTAAAAACATCTACTCACAGAAAAAAAAAAAAAAAAGCCTGGAAAAAAGAAGCCAAAATGTAAATAGCTACGCTACGAGTGGCATTACATATGATTTAAATAGCCTTCGCTATGCTTTTCTGTTTTCCAAGATTTTTACATGGCATATACTACTTTAATGGGATGAAAAATAGAGAAGCAGAAAATCCAGCTTAGGGTGTGGTTTCTCCACTTCCTGAGTGAAACTCCCTTAGAGCAGGGACCAAAACAATCTTCAATTTACTGAAAGCCATTTAACTGAGAACTGATCACTACATCACAAATCCAGTGGCTGAATCTCAGTCTTCAACTTGCTCAGCTGATTGGCAGCATTTAACACAGCTGATCACTTCCTCCACCTTGGAATGCCATGAAATGAAGGGAGGACTTCTAGGGCTCCTCATTTCCCCCCCCTCTCTGAGCACTCCTCCACTGGTGTTGCCCTAGTTCTCCACCTTCCAGCCTCTTCACTGTGAAATGTTCCTAGAACTTTTCTTTACCTGCATCCATTCCCTAGGCAGCCTCAATCAGGTCTAAGCTTCATGACCCTATGTTGACAACTCCCAAACTTCTATTTCTAGGTCCCTAAACTTCAGGCTTACATCCAACTGCCTTCGATTGTCTGTTAGAACACTGCTATGGACTGAATTGTGTTCTCGCCAAAATCTGTATGTCAAAGCCCTAACTGCTAATGTGAACTGTATTCAGAGATAGAACGTGTAAGGAAGTGATAAAATTAAATGAAGTCATACAGGTGGGGGCTGTACTCTGGAAGTAGACTGAAGAGAAAGAGGCATCAGAGTTTTTGCCCTTGCCTCAACCCCATGATGAGATCACAGTGAGAGAGAAAGAAGGTGGTAATCTGCAAGCCAGGAAGAGAGCAGAACTTTGATCTTGGACTTCTATCCTCCAGAATTGTGAGAAAACTCTCAAGCAGACTAATACAGCCACTCACATTCAATATGTCCAGAACCACCCTTCAAACCTGTACCTTCTTTCCGGAGGCAGAAGGGCCCCAGAGAATCCTAAGCAGGCTACATGCTCAGTGCAGAGCCCCACTGGGCTGGAGCCCATGACCCTGGGACCACGACCTGAGCTGAAATCAAGAGTTGCTCAATTGACTGAGCCACCCAGGCGCTCCAAACCTGTACCTTCTTTAAGGCACATCAGTTTTGAAGTTGCTGAAGCCAAAAATCTTGGAGTTATCCTTAACTCCTCTCTCACTTTCAATACCCAGCCTATCGGCAAATCCTGCTCTGTCTTCAAAATACATTCAAACTGGAACCACTGTTGATCATCTTTACCCCTACCACCCTGGTGAGGCCAGCAATTTCTCAACGAGAGTGCTGCAGTCGCTGCCCTTGACCTTGTAAAGGATATCTTCAACACAGCAGCTAGTGCAGACTGACGTTTTAATATTATATCAGATGGTCATTTCTCTGCTCAAAACTCACCAGTAGTTTCCTATTTTATAATAAAACAGGAAAGTTTTTGCAATGGCCTACAGGGCTCAACGTCAGTGGTTCTCAAACTTGAGCATCAGGATCTTGTGGAGGACAAGACTGCTGTGCCCCTAGAGTTTTATGATTCAACGGGTCTGGGGTGGGGCTGGATACTTTGCATTTGTGCCTCTGTCGGAAGTTTGATCCAACTTCCGTCCAATGCGGATGCAGCCAGGGGCCCTCACCGTGAGAACCGCTGTCTGCAGGTACATACAGTACTGGGTCCTCCCCCGCCTCCCAGCCACACTACTCCCCTCTTGTCTTCCTGTTAGACGCCAGACTTGTGTGGCCGACTCTAGGCTCACACTGCTCCTTTTAGGGGAAGCGTGTCTCGCTTTTCCAGATCTTTTGCTCGAGTATGGCCACCTCAGAGAGGCTTTCTGGGGTCACTCTATTTAGAATGTCCCTGTCACTTTGGGCCCTGTTTTATTTCTTCTTACAGTACATAACTCCTTATTTATGGCGCACGATTCTATCAGAATATAGGTTCCAAGCGGCCAGGGCCTTTCCTTTGTTCACTGTCCTACCCCAGAGACTAAAACAGTTTGTTCTATGTTTTATGCTTGGATGGTCATAAAGATCCTCAATAAATATTTCATTGACTGACTACAGGAAAGAACAGGAGTGGAAATGGACCTGCAACACGGGAACACAGCAGACGCTGCTCAGTCGCCCGGAGAGCCCGCCCACCCCACGACCCGGCGCCCAGAGGCGGGACTTCCTGTGGGCTTGCCGAAAGAGCTTCCGGCGTGAACCGGAAGTCCCGTTGAGAGCAGCCGCCGCGGAGACCCGGGGGCACCGGCTTTGTGCTGTTGTTGCTGCCATGGGCAAAAGAGACCGGGGCGACCGCGGTGAGACGTGGCGCGGGCGCGCTGGGGCCTGCCTGTGCTCGCCGTCCCCATCGTCCTGTGTCGTAGTTGCTCCGGGCTTCTCGGCGGCTGCCGACCCCTTAGGGTCTCGCGGCCTGTACACGCTGTCGCGACGGGCTGCTGGGCAGCGGGCGATCCTGACCCATGGGCCGCCCTGCGTCGTGGGCCGGGTGGGAAGCATTTCAGGGAGAGGACGCCAACGGCACGCGTGTGACTCTTGGCTAGGAGTGCGTGGCGTTGGTGAAATACGGCCGCTGCCGGCCTCCCTCGAGATGCCGCTAAACGGCGCGGAGGGAACCTTGGGCTCCTGCGGGGCTCACTTCTGTGTCCGTATCTGCAGATAAGAAGAAATCCAAGAAGCGGCACTACGAGGATGAAGAAGAAGATGAAGACGACGTCCCCGGGAACGACTCTCAGGAAGCGGTCCCCTCGGCGGCCGGGAAGCAGGTGGATGAGTCCGGTACCAAAGTTGATGAATATGGAGCCAAGGACTACAGGCTGCAGATGCCCCTGAAGGACGACCACACCTCGAGGCCTCTCTGGGTGGTGAGTGCCCTAAGGGCCAAGCTGGGTTGGTTCTGGGACCCAAAATGGAGATGCAGGGTACTGGCCTCCGGAGCTGGCTGGGGGAGAGCTCTGTGCATGCTGTGAGCAGCCTGAGATAGGACTGAGCAGGGACCGCACACACGTGCCGGCTGGCGCCCGGCTTCCTTCGTCTCTAACCCTCCTTCTCCCCTTCCTTTCAGGTCTACCACATGCCTGGAAATACTTTTTTACTTCCTGAACAAATGCCATTTATTGTGTAACATTTTAACTGCCCATTTAAAAAATTGATGGAAGTTGGGGCGCCTGGGTGGCTTAGTCGGTTAAGCGTCCGACTTTCGCTTAGGTCATGATCTCGCGGTTTGTGGGTTCGAGCCCCGCGTTGGGCTCTGTGCTGACTGCCAGCTCAGAGCCTGGAGCCTGTTTCGGAGTCTGTGTCTCCCTCTCTCTCTGACCCTCCCCTGCTCACGCTGTCTCTCTCTCTCTCCTAGAAATAAAACATTAAAAAAAAAAAAATTGATGGAAGCTATGTATTTGCTAGGCCGCTCTTTTGCTCAGTTCGACCTAGTTAATACTCTACCTTCATTTGAAACCTGGCCAAAAGGTACCTTGAAGATAGGCCATAAAGTGGGCTTTCCCTGTGAAGAGTAGTGGAAACCGACTTCGGAAACCTGTTCCTCTACTCTCTCTATTCCTTGTGTCTGATTAAAGTCAGGCCCCACAGTTGGCTGAAGGGGTGCTTACAAAGATATTCCTGGTGTTAAAAGATCCCTTCTTGGACAGCTTTTCTGGATAATGGTGTGAGTTAGAGTCTAATAGTCTCTACACTTCATTTATTTTTTTGTTTGTTTTGTCTGTTGTGTTCCTTTGGTGTTTCTTAGGCTCCTGATGGCCACATCTTCTTAGAAGCCTTCTCACCAGTTTACAAATATGCTCAAGACTTCCTGGTGGCTATTGCCGAGCCCGTGTGCCGACCAACCCACGTGCATGAGTACAAATTAACCGCCTACTCCCTGTATGCAGCTGTCAGCGTTGGGCTACAAACCAGTGACATCACTGAGTACCTCCGGAAGCTCAGCAAGACGGGAGTCCCTGATGGAATTATTCAGTTTATTAAGGCAAGTGGGGGCCAAGGCCAGCTCTTTTGCCTTCCTTGTGAATACATTGATAGTGGGGACAGGTGCTGTCCATTGTCAGCCTGTGGCCATCATGAAAATGCCATTCAGATCTCGTGTGGGGAGACATAACTGGTTCCCGCAGCTGCTTTTCTTCTGGATCCAGCACGGTGTTCTTGCTGAGGCCACACTTCCCGTGAGCTGCTCTGATACAGTGGGTACTAACACATTGGGGATACTAATTCAGGCCCATTCTGGCCAGGGTTATTTGGGAATGCAGCCAGAAGTGAATGGTGTTTTGGACTGAATTGTGTCCTCTCCAAAATTCACATGAAGCCGTAACCCTTAATGTGTTTGTATTTGGAATGAGGGAGTAATTAAGGTTAAATGAGGTTAAAAGAGTGGGGCCCAGATCCGATAGGATGAGCATCCTTTTAAGAATAGTCCAGCCCAGGAGCCCTCTCTCTTTGCACGTGCACAAGGAAGAGGTCATGCGGGCACATAGTGAGAAGGTAGCCAGGAAGAGAGCCTTAACTAGAGACTAATCACTGTCACCTTGACGGAGTACTTCTAGAAATGTTTCTTTTGTCAAATCATCCAGTCTGTGGTGTTCTGAACAGCAGCTGAGCAGACTCCTATAAATGGTAAACCCTGTCTAAGGCTGAATACCTGCACAGGACCAATAGTCAACAGTTTTCATGAGGGAAAGTCAAAAAGAACTTCCAAGTGTTGAAGTGGATAGGGTTCCATATGCAGAGCATTAAACATGCTTGGGCTTGTTCTGAGAGACAGGTGAATGCCATCCAGAATAGCTGCACAGTGCCTTTTGTTACCCTTGCTGATCTAAAGGGAATTGGATTAAGCCCCCCAGATCTGGAGAGGGGGCATGCAGTGCAGTAATGCATCCAGTCTCTGAGCAGCTAGCAGGAGCCCTGGTGAGAGTTCTGTCTTGTGACGTGGAAAGGTGCCCAGGGAGAAGGGCCTGCACCTTGCTGGAATGAGCCCCACATTAGCACGCTGGCTGTGCTCAGTCTTGGCGGGAGCTGCCTGCATGAATGTAGGTGTTGGTATGCTGCAGTAGTAGACCCAGAAGGGCAGCAGCAGGGGCAGGTCACAGCCCAGGATCCGAGTGGCGAATTTCCATGGCTGCCACACAACCTCTGCTGCTTTCCATCCTAAAGATTGTTGGGAACCTGGAAGATTTCAGCTGTAGTCTCTTCCATCAAGAAGCTTCCATTCATTTTTTTATTTTTATTTTTCTTAAGTAGGCTTCATGGCTAACACAGAGCCCAGTGCGGGGCTTGAACTCATGACCATGAGATCAAGACCTGACCTGAGATCAAGAGTCGCACACTTAACCTACTGAGCCATCCAGGTGCTCCGAAACTTACATTGTAGTTGGGAGAAATAGGAACATTGGTGAGGAGGCCAGGAGATTTTGCATGTAGTTTATGCAACAATGACTAAATACATGCTTTGTGCCAGTTTTGTGCTAGGAGCTGTAATAATGCCGGTGTGGCTGGATGAACCATTGGCTTATGATGGGGCCTGCAGGGATGGAGAAGAAAAGGGAAGGGAAAATAAAAAAGATTTTACATAGCATTTTATGAATTAAGGGACATGCATCAGAAAAGAGCCAGGCAAGAGCAAGGTTTTACTCTCAAAAGCAGAGGTTAATAAGAAAAAGCTCAACTTGGGCACACCTAACCTCTTTAGGATTGCACATTGGGCTCTCCCCGAAGTCAAATGAACTCTTCACTCGGTAGAATGAATGTGTCCTGAGTGAGCCGCGCATTGCTAATTGTGCCTGTTGAATGTTGTCACTCCTTGCAGCTGTGTACTGTCAGCTATGGAAAAGTCAAGCTGGTCCTGAAGCACAACAGGTAAGGGATCCTGTGACAGCAGCCCCCCCCCCCCCGCCCCCGCAAGGCACTTTCGCCCTGTGTGGAGCAGGCAGCAAGGGGCTGCTGCCTGTGGACTGTCTGCACCAGCACCGGCTCCCCTGAGGAAGGGGATAAAAGGCGTAAGCGAAGGGAAGTGACCAAAACCGGGAATTTGTTTCCTGGCCACTGTGTTCCCCTGCCCCAAGCAGCAGAGCTGAGGCTCAAGCTGCTCCTTATTTGACTTCAAAGCCGCGTTTTGTCCACACCCTCGTTTGTTATGTCTTGGCCAGTGGCTCATAGCTTGGATTTGGCTAAGGCTTTGGGAGAATAAGAGATTGAGAGAAGCACAGAGCCACTGTTTCCAGACCATGTGATCACATGAGCCACAACGTTCTGGAAATGGTGTACTGCTCAGTAGTCCCCTCCCTCCCCTCTTGCAGATACTTCGTGGAAAGCTCCCACCCTGATGTCATCCAGCACCTTCTCCAGGATCCGGTGATCCGGGAGTGCCGCCTGCGGAACTCTGACGGGGAGGCCACGGAGCTCATCACAGAGACGTTCACGAGCAAGTCGGCCGTAAGTGGGCTCCCGGGTCACCCTTGGCAGTGGGAGCGTGGGGATGTCGGCTCTCCCAGAGGCGTTCGGTCCAGCATTCGCAGCTTTGGGAGCCCACAGTCTTCTTACAGCTGCAGTTGCTTGTTCAACTCTGGCTCTTGCTTGGAAGCCTGAGGTTTCATTGTCGCACAGAGGTTCAGGTGCTGCCTCTCTTACAGATTGCCAAGACTGCTGAAGGCAGTGGTGGGCCTTCCACTTCCCGGGTGACGGACCCACAGGGTAAATCTGACATCCCCACGGACCTGTTTGACTTCTATGAACAAATGGACAAGGATGAGGAAGAAGAAGAAGAGACACAGACTGTATCTTTTGAAGTCAAGCAGGTTAATGCGGGTACCCCTCTCCAAGCTGGCCTCGCCCTGTGTGGACTCCGCAGTCTGTGTGAGAGGAAGGGATCCCCATCTCCTCCTGACATTGCTTTCTGCCTTATGGTACCTGGGCTGTGGCATCATTCCTCCTAATGGGGTTGGATCTGAGTGTCCTGCTACTCTGGCTGGTGGCTCAGTCTTCACAAGTTCCCGGGAGATGTAGGAAGCAGTGTCTGAGGGGCATTTTGGTGGTTTGGGGGGATGTTTTGGTGATTGGATTTAATTTTTTCTGTGTCATTAATTTGGATTGCTTTTCTGTGCTTTAACCCAGCTGTTACCAAGCAAGATCTGAAATTGCAAAAGCCTACATAAAACGCTGTCTTCTTGACCATCAGGCTCCTTCTGGATTGTGTATAGCTTTGGATTTAACAGCTTTGGTATTTAACAAGATTATAAAACGTCTTTCATGCTCACTCCCCAGGAAATGATTGAAGAACTCCAGAAACGTTGCATCCACCTGGAGTACCCTCTGTTGGCAGAGTATGACTTCCGGAATGATTCTGTTAACCCTGATATCAACATTGACCTGAAACCCACAGCTGTCCTTAGACCTTATCAGGAAAAGAGCTTACGGAAGATGTTTGGGAATGGACGTGCCCGCTCAGGGGTCATTGTTCTTCCTTGTGGTAGGTGACACCTGAATGAAGAAGGTGGCCAGGCTCTTCGGTCACAATCTGCCAGCTTCCTCTCGCTCTCCTTTGTGCGCCTTTCTCTAAGTCACACCTGGCCAGGGAGCAGCCAAGGTCTGATGACCCCCTGATCCATGACCTAACCAGTATTTGAGTGCCTGCTGTGTGCTGGGCTTTGACCTCAGCAAAGGTGGATACTGGAGATACAGTCGTGCATAGAACAACACTTCCGACCTCGGGGAGCTCATATTGGTGGTAGAGAGACAGCTGGTAAACCCATCAACTAAGCAGTGTGTAAGATCTTGGGCAGTGACAGTGATGTGGGGCAGGTGCTCTTTTTTATGCTGGGTTAGGGTCTCCTCCTTCGCAATCGATCTCGAGAGTTGTGTATATTTGGAGACTTCCTACCAGAGAAGCCTTGCTCATTCCTTGATGGCTTATTACAATGTGTGCATCCAAGAAAGGGCAGTATGGCCCCCTTGGCGCCTCTCTGGTATCATTTGTCCCAAGTCATGTCAGGTCCTGGCTGAGGTTCTTGGCCAGGGGTCACAACACATTCACCGGGGGGCCCTACCGCAGACTTGAGGAGGTTAGAATCTTCAGGGGAGAGGCCTGTACCTTCAGGTTCTTTTTTCTTTTTCTTTTTTTTAAAATCTCCCTGGGTGGTTTTGATGCACATGCCTGGTAAACGAGGAATTGCCGTTTGAAGGCTTAGCTTGATTTTTATCTCAATCTTCAAATGGTGGAAGATAGTGACCTTGGAAGCCCTGGAATTTCGCCTGTGTCTTTGCCAGTAGAGTACACATTTCCCATGCACTTGAGTTCTCAGCCCAGCAAGTGGTGCTAAGAGCTGCCTTGTGCTGGTCCTCTGTGCGGTCTGTGTACCTGGTGCGCTGTCCCCCAGCAGCACCACCTTCCCGTGGCATGAGCAGGGTGTGCTGAGCTTCCCTTTTCTCTTGTTTAAAATGGCAACAATAAGAGTATCTCGTATCTCTGGTGAGTTTTCAGATTTCAACATTAGAACAGAATTCAGGGAAAATGCTACAGGAGGGCCTGGTGCCTGTCTCTCTAAATTGTCATGTTTATGCTAGGCCATGTCTCCGTTTTATAGAGAAGGAAACAGGCCCCTGGAGCAAGAAGTGCCTCATGATATATGAGGATGATTACACATAATTCGTCCAGATTCATGTGTCGAGTCATTCTGTCTGTATTCTTCAAAAAAAAATTTTTTTGAATGTTTATTTTTGAGAGAGAGACCAACATGAATAGGGGAGGGGCAGAGAGGGAGAACAGAATCCGAAGCAGGCTCACTGAGGCGTCAGCACAGAGCCTGATGTGGAGCTTGAACTCTCGAACCACGAGATCATAACCTGAGCCGAAGTTGGATGCTTCACTGACTGAGCCACCCAGGGCGTCCCTGTCTGTGTCTTTCATTGCAACCGGGCCTTGGGTGACTTTGCCCTTTGGTTTCACATAGGTGCCGGCAAGTCCCTGGTTGGTGTGACAGCTGCCTGCACCGTGAGAAAGCGCTGTCTGGTGCTGGGCAACTCAGCTGTGTCTGTGGAGCAGTGGAAAGCCCAGTTCAAGATGTGGTCCATCATCGACGACAGCCAGATCTGCCGCTTCACCTCCGACGCCAAAGACAAGCCCATAGGCTGCTCCATTGCCATTAGCACCTACTCCATGCTGGGCCACACCACCAAAAGATCCTGGGAGGCCGAGCGAGTCATGGAGTGGCTCAAAACTCAAGAGTGGGGCCTCATGATCCTGGATGAAGTACACACCATACCAGGTAAGCAGGCTGAGAGCTGAGCTGCCTGTCCGTTGCAGAAGCAGAAATTGGTTTCTGTTTGTTGGGTTGAGGGAAAGCTGCTGTGTAGTACATTTGTTTTGCTAGAAAGGCTTGCTGGGTAAAGTTTTAAAATAAGTCCTAAGCAGGCTGGGCTGAGGGTGGGTGGTGGATGGGTGTACACCTTCAGAGCTTCGTTAATCATGGGCCCGGCATAGTCATTCAGAAAATGGTTTTTGCCTTCTTCATCTTACTATTGCTGCTCAGTTTACTCTTAACCACTTGGCTTATGGGGCTGTGAAAACTGGACCAGGAGCACGGAAGTCCTTGCCATAGTGGTATCTGTTTTATCTGAAGGCTGAATTGAAGTATTGATCCTTGATATATTACAGAAGCCCTACTTCTCCAAGTGTTGCAGGCAGTCTTTTTTATTTTTTTTTAAGTAGCTATATTGATAAAATATCCACCAATAAAATCTACCTATTATAGGTATGCAATTCAAGATTTTTCGTACAGTCATGGAATTGTGCGGCCATGACCATGATCCAGTTTTAGAACCTCAGCCTCGTAGTCACTCACAGTCCGTGCTTTCAGCCCCAGCCCCAGGGGACCATGGACGTGCTTCCTGTCTCTAGAAACCTGCCTTTTCTGGAGATGTCATCATTATTACAAAGCATAGAACATGTATTTCATATATATTTTAAAGAACATGTGTATAATACATATTTTACATCTTATAAGATCACATAATATGTATTTTCTTATATGTGGCGGCTTTTACTTTGCATGACGGTTAACCCACATTACATTGTATTGATAGTATCTGCCCTTTTATTGCTGCATAGTATTCCAGTATTCATTGATAAAGCAAATGAAGGGGAAGCCCTGATAAATTAAGAAATGTAAATTAGAGATTTCTCCGAATGAATGAAATCAGAGGCATTTGACATAGAGTGTTCAAAATACTGCCCAAGTGGAGAAGAGAGCAGTCAAAACCAAGGTTAAAGAGGGCCAGGCAGGGTAGAGTGTGGGCCAAATCCTATAGGACCTCATAGGTCTCTGTAGGGTGTTGGGCTTGTACTGTGAGTAGGTGGGAAGTCATTTGAGGTATTTGAGCAGAGGATGACACCATCTGATCAATGGCTATAAAAGTACCACCCTGGGTACTGTCCTGGGAATAAGATTCCACCCCCTGGGAGGCAGGGGTGGAAGCAGCTGGGTGGGTCCAATCAGGAGGCTTGAATTAGTGAGAATGAAGGTCATCTAATTCTGGATGTGCTGTGAGGGTGAAGCGGACAGGCTGACTGCGGTATCTGAGAGAGAAATCAAGGGTGACTGTAAGGTTTTTGGCCTGAGCAACTGGAAGGAAAGCTATAGAACTGGGCAAAGCTGTAAAAGGAACAGGTTTGCAGAGTGCTGATTGGGTTAGGCTGTAGACATGTACACTGGATTATCAGGTAGACATTCTGGCAGTGGCAAAGATGTTAGAAAGTGGGCAAAAGACCAGAGTAGACATTTCACTGAGGAGAATATACAGATGCTTAGCAACCCTTGAAAAGATACTCCACATTATTAGCCCTGAGGGGAGCTCGGCTTAGTACCATGTGATGTGATGCTGCTATACAGCCATCACAGTGGCCACACTGGGAAATGCCAACAATACCTGATGGGAGCACAGAGTGCCTCGTGGAAGCACAGAGCAGCTGCCGGGAGCACGGAGCGGCTGACGGGAGCACGGAGCAGCTGACGGGAGCATAGAGCACCTGATGGGAGCACAGAGCAGCTGACATGCATCACCAGAGGAATCACAAAATGTACAGTCACGTGGAGAAGTTGGGCAGTTTCTTAAAAGATTGCCATGTGACTCAGGCCACCCCTGGGCATCCATCCTAAAGAGTGGAAACTCAGGTTCACACGAAAACCTGTACATGAATGTTTGTAGGGGCTCTGTTCAGAGTCTCCAAAGCCTGGAAACAACCACAGTGCCCAACAGTGGGTGACTGGATATACAAATGGGGATATTCCTCCCCCGAAACACTACTCAGCCATGAAATAACACACTGTTGCTGCGTGCAACAACTTGGGTAAACCTCAGAGGCACAAATCAACCCATCTTGGAAAGCTATACAATGTATAGTGCCTTTGAAAGGACCAGACCAGTGATGGAGAGCATGTCAGTGGGTGCCAGGTGTGACTGTAGAGGGAGAACACGAGGAAGAGTTTTGGGGTGATGGGTTTGTCTGTATCCTGACTATGGCAGTGGTTACACAAGTCTTCACGTGTTAAAGTTAGTAGAACCAATCCCACCCACCCACCCCCAGGAAGAAGTCAGTTTTTACTATGTGCTAATTTAAAAACTAAAAAAAAAAAGTTAAGGAGCAGGGGGGCATTGAGTCTGATTGGACTGGAAATCGATAACCTAGAGAATCACTTGCTACAGAGGATTTTCGAATTGCTGTGTGGCGGTTCAGCTGGAGGCTGTGCTTGAAGCTTGGGAAACCTGAGTGTGTACTTAGTTTATGTCAATGTTCCTTTCTAGCCCAGGTCCCGGGTTTCAGAGGGCGGCAGCCAGGCTTGGGATTGCTTGTCTGAGGATGAGGATACAGGGGTGTACCCCAAAAAATTTCATGCTCCCCGTCTGTGTGTCTCTCCTTCCTGACTCACTGGGTCACTTTGTCTCTGGTTGGGTAGGAGAGTCAAATAGAATTCTGAGTTCAGTCGTGTTCTTGTGAGCTCCATGGGCCTGGCCATGCTCACTGGGCCAGAGAGCCATTGTTCAATAAGAATTCTAGCAAATCACAGCAAGATTCTTGATAAACCTTTATGCCATGTTAGACGAGGTAGAATGATACGTCTTCCAAAGAGAGTCTTATTGGGTCACTATATTATTAAAATTTTGGTAACTGCAGGACTGCAAGGCACTGTGCCACTTTCACTTCAGGAAGTATTTATTAAGAACCCACTAAGTATCAGGCGCTGTGCATGGACTGGAGACACAGCGGGAGACAAGTGACAACTGTAACGTAATGTACAGTGAAACAAGTCACACCCACAAAACATGCATTGTGATTCTGTTAATACAAAGTGTGGATGGTGAGTGAGATCGCGGTTCCCCTGAGGGGGGCGTGTTGGTACTGATAGGCGGTGGCAGAGGAGAGACTTGTGGGCACGAGGAACACTTACCTTGACCTGGTTGCTTTCACGGGGACAAGGCTGTGTAGAAACTTCTCATTCCTGCGGTATGTGGGTGACTCCTGGCAGCCAGCCCCACAGTGTTGGAGCCTGTGGGAGCAGCATGTGGCCGGTCTGCGGGGCAGGCCCCCCACGGAGGGCTTCTTGCTGGCTGCAGACTCAGGTTGGTATCGCCTGGGCTGTCCCCAGTGCTGCCTCCCTGGTGCCCGCATAGGTTGGCGTCTCCATTGCCTCGGCTGCCATGCCCTTCTGATGCGAGGAGCCTACTCTGGGGTCCTCGGCTGCCCTTTTTCTGGAGCGGCAGGGTCCTTGGAGGTCACCGTGCTGCCGTTCTTTGTCTTCCAAGTATATGTGCAAACCGCCTTAGGCTTGGAAGACCTGGACACTGATGGGGGCCCAGACAGTCCTCTGCTGTCTCACTGTTATAAAATTTCTGGTTTGTATCCTGGTGCAGTCTGACCCTTCCTCAGATCGTTAACCTCTATTTCTGCAGTGCCACTCCCCTCACTTTTAGATGTATTACAAGATAAGCGTAACTCAAACACTGTAACCTTTCAGAGTATTAGTATTTTTATTTAAAAAAAAATTTTAATGCTTTATTATTTATTTTTGAGAGAGAGACAGAGCACAAGTAGGGGAGGAGCAGAGAGAGAGGGAGACAGAGAATCTGAAACAGGCTCCAGGCTCTGAGCTGTCGGCACAGAGCCCGACGTGGGCCTTGAGCTCACAGACTGTGAGATCACAACCTGAGCTGAAGTCGGACGCTTAACCGACTGAGCCACCCAGGCGCCCTCGGAGTATTAGTATTTTTAAAGGACGAGCCCATGGAAACCCATCAATTGGCTTTTTTGAAATTGGTATCTTAATCCCACTTATGTGTGTATTAACTTGAAAAACCAGAATCAGAGCACTGCACAGAGACAGAGACGTTGCTGGTTGACCAGATGAGTCTCATGGAAAAGCTCAGAGCAGGGGGTTTCCCAGGGCGGGTCAGCTGGCCTGGGCTTTCAGGGCTCCCTGTGGACTCCTCGGTTTCTGGGAAGATGGTGGGAAGCCCAGCAGACCCAGCTCCTTTCACTTCTTGGATCCCACTCGGATCCCACAGTCACCCAGCCACCTTCCTGGTAACCTGGATACAAGTTTCAGGGCGAATAAATTCCTTGCCTCATTTAGAGCTCACTGGTATTTTAGCATTAGATCGTGTTTCAGATTGCCGTTTGCGCTCGTGCTGGTAGCTTAGCTGTTACAAGGGAGGATCGCGGGGCTCACTGATTGGAGCTTCCCTACATCCCTTTCTCCCTTTTGTTCTCTTGCTCCTCCTCCTTTTGGACAGGTCTGAAAGTAATGATTAAGCGTTCTTGCCTTCTCATTCTGCTCTAGAGCCTGGTTCCTGGGACTCAGAGACCTGGGGGTGACCCCGCATAGTGCCACAGGCCAGCGTGAAGTCACAAGGCTGTGTGCGGTACTGAGCGTTTGAAAACGTGACCAGTGTTGAGGCACATGGGTGGCTCAGCCAGTTAAGCGTCTGGCTCTTGGTTTTGGCCCAGGTCATGGTCTCTCAGTTTGTGAGATGGAGCCCCATGTTGGGCTCTGTGCTGACAGTGCAGATCCTGCTTGGGTTTCTCTCTCTCTACCCCTCCCCTGCTTGTGCTGTTTTTTAAAATAAATAAATAAATAAATAAGCACTTTAAAAAAGTTAAAAAAAAAAAAGTGACAGTGTGAACGCGCTGATTGTTTCCCTAGCCAAGATGTTCCGACGGGTGCTTACCATCGTGCAGGCCCACTGCAAGCTGGGATTGACCGCGACCCTTGTCCGAGAAGATGACAAAATTGTGGACTTAAATTTTCTGATTGGGCCCAAGCTCTACGAAGCTAACTGGATGGAGCTGCAGAACAGTGGCTACATCGCCAAAGTCCAGTGTGCTGAGGTAGCTGTCCCCTTCCTGGTATGGTGTTGGGAGAGGGGGTCCGCCCATGGTTAAGGGGAAGGGGATTGGGTCACCGTCCCATGGACAGACACACAGCAGAACTTGAGCAGAGGTGCTCAACTCATACTGTTCCCTCAGTCCCCCTGTGAGGTGGGCAGTGTTCCACACACTGCAAAGACTTGTGAAACAAAAGCCCTTTCCAGAGGCACATGGTCAGTAAGTGCCCAAGTGGGGACGGTAATGCAGGCTGGTTTGACCTCCAGATCCACTCCTCCTCCCTCTCCCTGGGGCTGAGCACCTCCGATGGTCCTGCCCACCATCTCCCTTGGATTCTGGGTGGCTCTGTGGGCAACCCTCCATGCCAGCCCGGTGCCAAAGCCTCTCAATTTTGGTGCCCCCAGACGGCACCTGTGGCCGAGATCATTTTATTTTTAAACACATTGGGAAACATTGTCCCAGTCTTGTTCCGCGGTGACTACCTGCACAGGTAAATGTTGAAAATACATGTTCGAAGGTAAGCCTTATCAGAAGGAACAACAAAAATCCTTCCTGGCAACTTGAAATGACTGTTACTCACTGGCTAGGGTTGGGCAGCCTCTGTCCCGGAAGGGGGCCTCAGGTAGAGGTGAGTGCGAGGAGCCTGTGCAGGTAGACTTGCTCTGCTGTGGACTTCCTTACCCTGTAGCTGCCTCTTTGTAATCAACCCGCGTCTCATGAAACAGAGCATTGCCAGAACCTCTGAGGGCCTGTTCTTTCCAGTTGCCTGGGAATCCACTGTCCCCCACAGAACTTGTCCTTCTCTTCCTTTTTTTTATTATTTCACCTCTTGTGTATATTTCTCTCACCCATTTTGTTTAGCGTTGTCTTCAGAAAAAGTCTTCCTGTGTACATAAAGAGAACCCAGTTATGTATTTCTTGTATGGCTTCTGTCTCTTGCTCCGTACTTTTACCCCTTGCATGATGTATCGCTTGTTTGATGATGTAGGTAGCTGTGCTCTGTAGTATTCCACCGTACAAGTACACCACAATTTGATGTATAATGAAATACGACACAGCACTAAAAATCTCTAATGTTGGCAGACACTCGGGTTGCTAAGTTTGTCTTTTTAGCAGCTTTATTGAGGTGTAAGCCGATGTTTCATAACACCCACCCTGTTGTAAGGAAGTACTGTGATTCAGAGATTCCGGGATTTTAGTCAGTGTAGAGAGCTGTGAAGCTGGCCTCGCCCTCCAGTTTAGAATCAGATTCCCGCCCCATCACCATTCCAGAAATTCCCCTTAGGCCTATTTGCCGTGAATCCCTGCTTCAGCTCCCAGCCCTAGCAAGCCACTGATTTATTCTTCGTGCATTTGGACCTTAGCGTTTTGTTTTTGGTTTTTTGCCGTCATGACAGTGTTGCTGCAAATATTTTTGTACCTGTTTTCTGGGGCCATGGGTCATTTTTTTCTAAAACAGTGTTCGCACTATGGACTGTGGTCACATAGTAGGCGATGACCTTACTTTATTGGGTCATGATCAGGGAAGAAGAGAATCTGCCAGAATGCCTAAGTACACATTAAGGGTCTACATTGTTTTTTGTTTTTGTTGTTGAGTAAATGTTGTTTAATACAACTGTGTTTGCGTGTGTGGATGTTTACCTGAAGTGATTCCATGTGAAGGCCACTGCTCCGGCAGGCATACCTAGAAGTGACATATCTGGGTCAAGGGCTGTGCAACTGCTCCCTTCACTAGCTGTGCTGGGAAGCCCAGTTGGACTGGTTGAACACTCATCCAGGGTGAGTGAGAGGATTCCACATCTCCAGGATGTAATACTGAGTTTTATTTTCTTTTAATTGTTTGCCGATGTGCTCAGTATGAAAATGGTGTACCTTACGGTCTTAAGTTATATTTTCCTGTTTACTGATGACCTTGAGTATCGCTTCCTGTGTTTGTGGACTATTCATGTTCAGTGAAATGCACGATTTTAAAGATTTTACTGCGGAAGAAGAATTGCTTTGGCTATAAAGAACTAGAAAGCTGAATGGAATCTTAACAGGCCACGGCCCAGGGGAACCAGAAAACAGTGGCAAAACCTGTGAATTTGCATTCAGGCCAGTGGTGGCATGGAGTGATGGCAGCTAACTGCGCAGTGGCCACAGCATGAAGGAATGGTCTGTGGTGATCACACAGAAGTGGCACCGGTCACACGCCGGAACCCAGAGCCTGTCATATAGGCTTTGTGGCCTCTTCAGGACGAAGTGTCCAGAGGGTCCCTTTTGTGTGTTCGTGGTCTTGAGACCTTTAAAGCCCATGGCACTGCAGTATATTTGGCTGAGTTTGCTTTAGCTTGCCAGCAGCACGTGCACAAGGGACCAGCACAGAGGAAGCCCTGGGGAGTGTCCCTGTCATTTGTATTTGAAGGATCAAATTGTCTCAGGTTTGACCAATGGGACCCCCTTCAACCTGGCTCCTCTGTCTGTTTGACATGTCCCCATCATTCTTTGAACACTTCCTACTTTCTGGCATAGCAAGATATTTTAGGTTTATCTGGTACTTTCCCTACCTATCCTGGCCCTGAGATCAGCCATTTCTCTAGGGTGCCCTGTTAGCAGAGAACGGAATGTACAAATCAAGCGCTAGATGCTAGGTGTGTTCATTACTCCTCAATGTCCTTGCTAGGCTAATTCAGCAGACAGAGCTAGGAAGTGTGTGTGCTTCTCCATAGCAGTGCTGTGTGGAGACTTGTGTGTGGGGGTGTGGGCCCAACGGGAGGGATTACTTGGACCCCTGGTTGAGAATCAGGTTTCCTTTATTTGATTGGAGCTGATGTGAAAGTAATTCCCCTGAATGCGTTGCATTTAAAAATCTATGTGTTTGGGGCGCCTGGGTGGCTCGGTCGGTTGAGCATCTGACCAGCTCAGGTCATGATCTCAAGGTTCATGAGGTCAAGCCCCACGTTGGGCTTATTGCTATCAGCGCACAACCTGCTTCAGATCCTCTGTTTCCTTCCTCTCTCTCTCTCTCTGTTCCTGCCCTGCTTGCACTCTCTCAAAAATAAGTAAGACAGTAGTCATCATCATCATCATAAAAACCTATGTGTTAAGAGATAAATATGAGTGTCCTGGTTCAACATTAGGTATGTGATTTTGTTTTGATTTCTTTTAAAGCTAGTTCTGCAAAGTGAATGGTCTTTAAAAGTTTCTAATTGTGGGATGTTTAAGTTTGCACTCTGACCCTTGACTCTTACTGTCACAGGTTTGGTGCCCAATGTCTCCTGAGTTTTACCGGGAGTATGTGGCGATCAAAACCAAGAAACGAATCTTGCTGTACACCATGAACCCCAACAAATTCAGAGCTTGCCAGTTTCTGATCAAATTTCACGAAAGGAGAAACGACAAGATTATTGTCTTTGCCGACAATGTGTTTGCCCTGAAGGAATATGCTATTAGGCTGAACAAGTAAGACTTGTAAAGTTGGAGTTACCTCTAGGCAGCTTAATCCTCCCCAAGCCCCTTGGTCTTCCTTCTTTGCCTCTCCAGTTCTCAGGAACTTCTTAGGGTCTGAAGGTCTGGTTCTGCGGCCTCCGTCCCAGGAACCGGGGAAGACAGAGGAGCAGGCAGTCAGACTCAGAGGTCCGAGCATATAGAATAAGGGGCCTGGACACCCTCAGCGCAGGGGTCAGGGGCTAGAGTCGGGCTGCTTTGGTGGGGCTCCATGTGCGAGCGGGGCTCCGAAGGTGGGTGCAGGTTGGTATCTGCAGTGGCAGGCCGGGCGAGCCGCCAGTGGAGCTGAGGTCAGACTGTACAGGGGCCCGGAAGGCAAGGCTGACTGGGCCCGCATCCCAGCCGGCCCTGCATCGAGAAAGAGCTTCTCAGGAACCAACAGTGGTGTCCTTACTAGCCCCTAGTCCCACCTGGATGCTGTGTCAGCACTGCCCGTGTAGACACTAAGCTTAGATTGAGGGACATTGATTCAGAAAAAAACACAGTCCAAAAACAAGGAACAAAGTAAAGAAGAATTCTGAAGAGAGAGGTGACCAGAACCTTGGCTGAGGGTCTGTAGCCACTCATTTATGGGCCTCCCTCTGATATTCTTGCATGATGGAGGGCTTCCTGGGAGGGGGAAACCTTGCAAGAACTCCTTTTCCCTCTGTTTGCTTTCCGGTGAACCGAGGGGTCATTCCGTGGCCCTCCTGACATGCCTCATTCTTTTCTAGACCCTATATCTATGGTCCTACGTCCCAGGGGGAGAGGATGCAGATTCTGCAGAATTTCAAGCACAACCCCAAAATCAACACCATCTTCATATCCAAGGTCTGTGTGCCACACGGGGTGGTGGTGAGGCAGGGTTGGATGTGTTGGGGGTAATTTATAAAGTATCTTTGCTTGACTGAGGTTTTTCCCACTTCTTTTGGGGATATAAGAATTTTAAATTGTATTTTCTTTATCCCAGGGGAAATTTTTCATTCCCTGACATTCTGACAGAAGTGGGCATTCAGATGAGGGTCTCTTGGTGGCGTTGGAGATCCCTTTGGGTGCGGGTGGCCTTCGTCCTGGCTGCTTGTGAGCCGTGTGCCGTGAGCCGTGTGCCACGGTGTGGTGGGCGGTGGATGTAAGCACGGTGGGAGCGCACGAAGGCCCAGCTCAGTGATGCTGTAGAAGCTGTGGCCCAGCAGTGCAGAGCGGGCATTCAGATTCCAGTAGGCCTGAAGCTCAGAATAAATGCGGTTCACCGATAGAGTTGAGCACTGGGTCATTAAGTACCACACTTCGATGTGTGCTGGGAACCTTGACGGCTGGAGCCCTCAAGCCGAGGCCGCTTCCCGGGGCCGGATCCAGCCCAGTGTGGGCAGTGGCCCTGACAGGTCCCGTGTCCCACACGTGCTGACGGCTTCATTGGCCTCCAGTTGAGAGTGTGGATGGTTTTGTGCAGATGTGTTGCATAGCAAAAAAGAAGAGGAGGAATGAATCCTTTACAGGGGATCTCTGTCGACAGGGCCCTCGTGTCTCTGGGCCCCAGCAGCCGGCCTGGGAACACTGGTGAGATGGCCAGAGGCGCTGGGTGTCCTGACCATGTTGTTAGGGCAGCTGTCAGGAGAATTCATGGAAGGCCCCAGAGGCCTGCCTGCGTCTGCAGGACCCTGTGCAGAGAAGAGGATGTGTTTGTCTCTCTAAATTATGAATAGAGCTCATTTAAATTCCAGGCCTTCTTTTTGTCCCAAATAAAAAAGAAATTGTCGCACTCCCAGCTGCTTCATTTCTGTAGGTGGGCGACACGTCGTTTGATCTGCCGGAAGCGAACGTTCTCATCCAGATCTCATCTCACGGCGGCTCCCGGAGGCAGGAGGCCCAGCGGCTGGGGCGCGTGCTCCGGGCCAAAAAAGGTAACGGCGGCCTTTTGCCTTCTGCTCCTGCAGGTCTTTCCTTTTGAGCTACCCTGATTAGGAAGAGGGTAGGGATGGGGCGCCTGGGGGGCTTAGTCGGTTAAGCGTCCGGCTTCGGCTCAGGTCATGATCTCACAGTTCGTGGGTTTGAGTCCCACATCGGGCTCTGTGCTGACAGCTCGGAGCCTGGAGACTGCTTCAGATTCTGTGTCTCCCCCTCTCTCTCTGCCTCTCCCCCATTCATGCTTTGTCTCTCTCTCAAAACTAAATAAAACCAAAAAAAAAAATTTTTTTAGGAAGAGGGTAGGGCCAAGCTGCCTGCGTGCTTGTGCTCATGATCACGGTGAGCAGGCTGCCCTGGGCTGAGTAGACTCCGTAGGGGGACTCCCAGAGCAAGGACCAAGCTCTGTGTGCCTCCTGGCGTTTCCCTGGCAGCTGCCTGCTCCGCAGGGCGTCCTCCAAGCTGAGCAGCCGTGTCCAGTAAGAGGGGCCAGGAACGCAGTGTGAGTGTGCAATGCTGGGGCCATAGAGGGCGGGAAGCAGAGCTGGGCCGGCAGCAACGTGTAGGAGCTGGAGTCAGGAGTCGGGGGAGGGCTCAGTAGGAGCAGCTCAGGCAGCTACAAGAGAACCCTGGCACGCACCCTGTGAAGAGCCCCGCCTTAGTTGACAGCTCGCTGCAGGGGTGTCACATGCTCAGTGAGTGAGGGCGCCAGAGGTGCCCTCTGTGGTGAGAGGGCCCAGGCCCTAATGGCAGGCACAGCAGGGGCTGACGTTGCTGCTTAGAGTGGCCGCATCCCTCCTCCTGGGACCAGACAGGCCCTGTCCTCAGGGACTTTGCTTTCCTCAGGACATGGCTGGAACAAGGGTAGTGGGCGTGTGTTGGAATCGTACCGTTACCATGTGTGTGAGAGGCAGCTAAGCAATTGTATTTAAACTGGAGACAGGACATGTTAGTAGAAATAGCATGAACTTGGGCACCAGACCAACCTTGTGACCTTGGGCAGGTAGTTTGCCCTTCTGAGCCTTGCTTTCCCATCCAGAGTGGGAGTGACCTTCCTCTGGAGTGAGGCACGAGCTAGAGGCTGCTGGGTAGACATAACATAAACATAAACAGGCAGGAGTATCACCTGACTAGTGCGTCTGAGTATAGTTCGTTACTTATGCCTTAACTCGTTACTGCCCCCAAAAAGAAACAAATCTAATTTGAAAACCCCTTTGAATATGAGTAGAAATTTGTTTTTTAAAAACTAGTATTTGGTGTAAGGTGTAAGGTATTTGGCTGCTTTCTTTGCATCTGTGAGCTCTTGTAAGACTAACAACAGCTGAATTCAGGGGCAGCACACAGGTACTGAATCTGCTGATATTGGAACTGTGAAGAACAAATGTGCAGATTTTCTAGATGGATCAGGTTCCACAGGCTCTAGTATTTTCTGTCCAAGTTTCTGTGATAATTCTGTTCTAGGGTTTTTTTCTGAGCTGGGTTTTTTTTAGCAACTTAATTGAGACCATTCACATACCATACAGTTAGTCCACTGGCAATGTACAGTTCATTCATTTGTTGTTTCTTAATGTTTATATTGGAGAGAGATAGCGAATGAGAGCCAGGAAGGGGTAGAGAGAGAAGGGGACAGAGGATCTGAAGCGGGCTCTGTGCTGACAGCAGAGAGCCCAACGTGGGACTCGAACTCACAAACCATGAGATCATGACCTGAGCTGAACTCATAGACTTAAACCGACCAAGCCACCCAGGTGCCCCAGCTCATTGGTTCTTAATATAGTGGCAAAGTGCATCACCATCACCGCAGATTGTGTTTAGAATATTCTCATCGCTCCAGGAAAGAAACCCTTTTCCACCAGCAGTAACTCTTCCTTCCTTCTTGCCTCCCAGCCCCACCGCAGGCAAACACGACTGTTTTCTCTCCTTTTTTTTTTTTTTTAAACTTTCTATAATTTATTTTTTATGATTTACATCCAAGTGAGTTAGCATATAGTGAGTGCAACAGTGATTTCAGGAGTAGGTTCCTTAAGCCCCTCACCCATTTAGTCCAACCCCCCCACAGTCCCTCCAGTAATCCCCTGTGTGTTCTCCATATTGAGTCTCTTATGTTTTGTCCCCCTTCCTGTGTCTGTTATTTTTGCTTCCCTTCCCTTATGTTCATCTGTTTTGTATCTTAAATTCTCACGTGAGTGAAGTCCTATTTGTCTTTTCCTTCCCTCTCTTAAGGGATGGTTGCGGAGGAGTATAATGCCTTCTTCTACTCGTTGGTGTCCCAGGACACACAGGAAATGGCTTACTCAACCAAGCGGCAGAGGTTCTTGGTAGACCAGGGTTATAGCTTTAAGGTACGTGTTCGTTCGACGTGACGTGTGGCTTCTTTGTACCCGCGCCTCCAGCAGGAGTGGGAGCCCCCGGCACTAGGGCACTGGGGCCCCGCCTCCTGCCCCTGTGTCTGCACGAATCACCTGGGCCTTGGGGGAAATACTGTGCAGGGCCTCTTCCTACCCCCAGCTTCCTGCAGAGAATGGTCAAACAGTGGGGCCCCGTAGCCAGGTGTCTGGAGTCTGCTTGTCCAAGTGTTATACTTGCCTTGTAAGAACAGTGCTGGCTGTCAGCGGGAAGATGTGCTTTCTGGCAGGACTCGGGGTGCCTCAGAGCTGCGGCCACTGCTGTGTCACCCTGAGCCCCTTGGGGTTCCTTTCCTGCATCAGCAGTGGTTGTCTGCCGGAGCCCAGAGCTCCCCAGGTTCACATACCTGATCTGTAATACACGGTCAGCTCCGATGGGGCGCCCCGCCCAGTGGCTGGGCCAGGGCTTCGGTCGGTCAGCGTGGTGAGCCCAGAGCAGCTAAAGCTTTGGCTGCCTCCCATTGGCTGTGATGCTTGCCTTCTTTTCTGTTGACACAAGTGGAGAGAGTTTAGGTCAGGGTTAGTGCCCTTAAAGGATTTTGTTTGTGGGGGCAGATGGAGGGTCCTGGAAGCAGGGACGAAACGGACACCCCTAGGACATGCAGGTTTCCAGATTCTTGGTTTGCGGAAGACTGCAGGCTGCCTTTTCAGATCCTTTTGATTGTGTCTTTTTCAGGTTGCCCAGTTTCTGTCATTAGCCGTAGACAGGGGGTCAGGGCTGTCTGACCCTCCTTTTTCAGCCGGAAACAGTGACAGTTTCAGACTTGTCATGCTGAGCTAGAGGACAGGATCCTTGACCGTGTTTTGAAGGATTGGCATTATGACCCTTTTACGTGTCTGTTAAAAGTATGTGATGATAGCAATGTTCATACGTCCCAATCCCTGGAGACTCAAGTGAGAGAGCAAGCACCAGATCAGGTCGTGTTCTGGGGTCTTTGGAAGGCTCCCTTGGCAGAAGGGCATCTGGCGTGCGATTGTCTGTATTGGTCGGAGGGGCCTTTGCCCGCTTGGCTTCAGCGCCACCTGCCGAGAGCAGCCCGGGTAGAGCCTTTGGGATCATGACCATGGACTCCCCGGGGTGGGGGTGAGGCCAGGGCAGAAGCACCCGATATCTTTTTTTTTTTTTTTTTTTTTGGTGAGGGTATGTTTAGTTCTTTTATTTTTTTTTTTTTATTTTTTTTTTTTTTACAAATAGTTTATTGTCAAATTAGTTTCTACATAACACTCAGTGCTCATCCCCAAAGTGCCCTCCTCCATGCCCATCCCCCCCTCCCCCCCACATCCATCAGTCCTCAGTTTTTGTCAGCATTCAAGAGTCTCTCATGGTTTGCCTCTCTCCCTTTCCCCCACCATTTCCGCCCTTCTTCTCCCCCTTGTTCCTCCGTCAAGTTCCTCCTAATCCTCCTATACGTGCAAACATATGATATTTGTCCTTCTCTGCCTGACTTATTTCGCTCAGCATAACACCCTCAAGGTCCATCCATGTTGCTACACATGGCCAGATTTCATTGTTTCTCATTGCCATGTAGTATTCCATGGTATAGATAAACCACATCTTCTTGATCCATTCATCTGTTGATGGACACTTAGGCTCTTTCCATGTTTTAGCTATTGTGGAGAGTGCTGCTATGAACATTGGGGTACATGTGCTCCTATGCCTCAGCATTTCTGTATCCCTTGGGTAAATTCCTAGCAGTGCTATTGCTGGGTCATAAGGGAGTTCTATTGTTAGTTTCCTGAGGAACCTCCACACTGTTTTCCAGAGGGGCTGTACCAGTTTACATTCCCACCAACAGTGCAGGAGGGAGAAGCACCCGATATCTATACTCTGGGCCTGTGGCCCCCTGGCTCAGCCAGGTCCCTACTCCTAGGACTTTTCTTCTGATAAAAATTATGAGCAGATTTAGAGAGAGGGGAAATGATTTCTCTATGTCATCAGTCCTGGCCTTCTTCAGGGGTAGGTAGGCCCTGTAGTAAGTCACCCCAAGGGGGGAAAGCCCCATCTCTACCTGTGTTCTCCTGCTCTCTTAGGAAAAAATCTTATCAGCCCACCTTGACGCGCTCTCATTTCTAAGTGCTCCCTCCTGCCAGAAGCCCTGGGAGCCAAGCCCCCAAGGCTGAAGACCCTTCCTGAGGGCGAAGGCAGCAGGCTGTGTCTCTGTCTTTGGTCCTTTCCTTTACCTGGCGCAGGATGGAAAGCTGCCCGGGCGGTTTCGAGTTGTCAGGGCCCCCGCTGATCATCTGTGAGTGATTACAGATCTGCTGTTCTGGGAGACGTTTCTCTGGAATGTCCTTCCCCCGCCCTGCCCTGCAGTCATCAGTTAGGCTCCTGGTACAGAGGGTGGGGAGGGGGCCCACAAGGGGACATATGGCCCACTGGTTGGGCTTTGTAGGTGATCACGAAGCTGGCCGGCATGGAGGACGAAGAGTTGGCGTTTTCCACAAGAGAGGAGCAGCAGCAGCTCCTACAGAAAGTCCTGGCCGCCACCGACCTGGATGCCGAGGAAGAGGTTGTGGCGGGAGAGTTTGGCTCCAAATCCAGCCAGGTAAGTGAGGGGGTGGGGCTGCAGGTGCCTGTCCTCCCAGAGGGCAGAGTTCTTGCACCTCCGCGCGTACTTGGTCCCCTGTGTGCAGGTGCGCACGCGCACCTGTGCGGCCTTCCTGAAAACTTGTCAAGACCAGGGAGCTGCAGGGAAGAAGTAACAGAAATTGCCCGTTAACCTTTTGGTGTGCATCCTTCTGTACCCGTTGTTTCACGTGGCCTTGCCCAGGATGCCCAACGTGGCCCCAGGCCCGCACCACGTGGCTGCAGGAGGGGGTGCTGTAGGCCTGGGCGCGCATCCGGGGCCTCGGCTCTGGCTTCGTCCTCAGCAGTAGAGCTAAGCTGTCCAGCTTGTAAGGCAGGTCTGAGGGTCTGCTCCCAGCTAGTTTCAGTATTTACCTTGAAGAACGTGGAGTTCTCTCTCCCTCCCTCTCTCTCTCTCTTCCTCTCTCTCTCTCTTTCTATCAAATAACGAAAAGAAAATTAAAATGAAAAATTTTTAAAAGAGCACCTGGGTGTCTGAGTTGGTTGAGCGTCTGACTTTTGATTCAGCTCAAGTCATGATCCCAAGGTTTTGGGATTGAGCCCCGCATCGGTTTCACGCTGAGCACGGGGCCTGCTCAAGGTTCTCTGTCTCCTTTTGCCGTCCTCAGCTCATGCTGTCTCTCTGTCTCTAAGATAAAATTAAATTTAAAACATAGAGTTCTCTGAAAATAGTGAACTCTCCATTTATTCTGCAAATACTGAATGCCTACCTTGTGGCAGCCCAAGATAATGTGGCATAATTAATGAAAGTGCCATTATGAGGAGCTCTTATCAGGCTCTTCCAAGAGAAAAGTACGGTGTAGTCAGGTGCATTGGAAACTAAATTGGTATCAGAGCCAAGAGGTGAGTGAGCAGTGTCCCCTGGGGAGGTGCTGCCCTGCCTCCAGCCTCAGACCACCCTGCCCCCAAACATGGGTACTGGAGCCGCCTCAAGCACTCGCTCGTGGACGCTTCAGGGAAATGTTTTCCCTCCGACTGTGTCCTTGGTAATGCCGGGTTGTTCCCACCAACCAGTGAGTCACCCAAGGTCAGGCCCTCGAAGGCATGGCTTGGTGCCTGTATACCCCAGGCTTGTCATCTGGTGCGAGTGGTGTGTAGGGCTCTGGGTCACACCCTGCCTGCCTGATTTCTGTTCACACCATGTATCAAGACAGATGCGGCTGTCCCCATCGTATAGATGAGTTCATTGAGGTGTAGACATTCAGTATATGTCCACGGTGAGAGGTAGTGCCAAGATTCGAGCCTGGGGCTTTCTGTCATTCCAATTGATTCAAAGCCTTACGGTGGAGTCTTGAGCCATTGGGGGACCACTGCCCTCACTGTCGAAAAATTCATAGGTTGTTAGTAAGAGATGCAGAGTCTGAAGCTGGCTGCCTGGGTTGAAGTCCTGTCTCTTTAAGAGCTTGGACAAGTTACTTAATCTCTCTGTGCTTCAATTTCTTCATCTGTAAGATGGGGATTATAATTGTTGTGAGGATCAGATGAGTTAATACTTGTAAATGCATGTGAACTGCTTAATATAACGCCTGAGACATAGTAAGTGGTCGGTAAATGTTTAAGAAGTAGTATTAAACTTAAAAGCTTTATAAGACTTACTGTGATGGTAAATGTTATAAGGAGTTTCTCCCCTTGTAAGTAACTGTGGGCTGGGCCCCTGCAGGTGTCGCGGCGCTTTGGCACAATGAGCTCCATGTCCGGGGCCGACGACACAGTGTACATGGAGTACCACTCGTCCCGGGGCAAGACTTCCACGAAGCACGTGCACCCACTCTTCAAGCGGTTCAGGAAGTGACAGCCACCGGGTCACAGAGGTCAAGCCCCAGCGGTGCCAGGTGGGGCTTTCCGCGTCCCGTTCTCTCCTCTGGCCGTGGCTGCAGAGCTCTGGAGGCCGTGTGTGCTCACCGTGACGGGGACCACGTGCCAGAGCTCGGGTCTGCCTCTGCAGGCCAGCCAGGGTCTTTGAAAAGCTGGGAGACTGTTTTGGTTTTTTTCTAGGCCATTTTTCTATCCTGGGGTGTGATCATTCCTCCCTATAAATATTTGTAATATTTAAGGTGTATTTATCTAATGTGCTGAATAAACAGAAATAGAACATTTGACCACTTTTGTTCTTGACGTTTATTTTGAGAGTGCATGAGCGAGAATGGGACTGGCAGAGAGACAGAGAGAGAGAGAATGAGAATCCCAAGCCGGGGAGAGAGAGAATGAGCATCCCAAGGGGCCTCTGCGCTCACGCAGAGCCCAGTGCGGGACTCCGTCTGATGGTTGGTGAAGTCACTACCCGAGTGGAAATCACGAGTCAGACGCTTGACCCACTGAGCCACCCAGGCGCCCTGAGCACTCTGTATTACAGGTGTTCTTACACCTTGTCAGAGGCACGGGCTGCGTCCAGGTGACAAACCTCCATCAAGGCCCCCTTCGTAGCAGGCACCAGGGAGTGAAATGGGGCCCATCCCTGAGGAGCCCCTGGGAGATGCACCCAGGATACTGAAGACTTGCATAGGTGTTCAGGTGTCGACAGGGAGAGGCCCAGATGGAGGGAGGAGCACAGGCAGTGCTGCCTGGTCACTGGCCTCGGGGCCTTCCACGCTAGGCACCCTGTGTGCAGGCCCTCTAGGTCACCCGAGGGCCATCACATGCTAGGGAGCCACTGTGTACACCTCTGCTTGGTCTTCTCTGATTCCCCAGATTCATTTTTGATACTGTCGGGAGGCCAGATTCCTCTTCTAACAGAATATTTTTTTTTAATTTAATTATATTTTATTTTTTTATTTTATTCTATTCTACTTTATATTTTATTTTATCTTTTTAATTTACATCAAATTTAGCAGATAGTACAATAACAGTCTCAGGAGTAGAATCCAGGTATTCATCCCCTACGTATAACACCCAGTGCTCATCCCAACACGTGTCCTCCTCAATGCCCCTCGCCAGTTAGCCCATCCCCCCACCCCCAACCCCTCCAGCAACCCTCAGTTTGTTCTCTATATTTAAGAGTCGCTTATGGTTTGTTCCCCTTCCTGTTTTTATACGTCTTCTTATAGCAGTTTAATGCCCTTGGGTCTTTAACTGCTAGTTCCTTTCTTCTGAGAAATGTCTTCTCTCTTGTTCTTGGTATGAAAGAAAAGCAGGAAGGACAGGAAAGGTAGGATTCTTCCATAAAAAAGACACACAGACACAAGGCGTGCAGACGTTGTGAAGAAAAACTTGTTATTTTGAGGAGAAGGCTCATCCGAATAGGCAAACGCGCTCATACCTGGGGAGTGTTGAAAGCCTGTGCTAAAAGTGCTAAAAAAAGGGCCTCTACATTGGCGTCCCTGCCCCTGCTCCCCCACCCTCAACCCCCCTCCCTGAGGCTCAGCAGCAGCCCTGTTTGCTGTGTGGTCACACACGCCTGTGCGCCTGCTCCGTGGAGCTGCTGCACAGCAGGCCGGGAAGGCGCACCTGAGGTTGGTGCTCGGGCGAGTGTGCGCCGAGACCTGTGTACCTGCTCGCCCTGGCGGACTGGCACCCACATGTCTCAGACTGGATCACAGCCCATGTTGTTTCCAGATTCTTATCTCTGGTCACACCTTTATTCCTGAGATACTCCACCAATGCCAAACACTTCTGAGTTTTCACATTTCTGCCCTTTGTGCTCACTGCTTTCTTGTGCCGTAATCTGTCTGCTGATCATGTGGACCTTGACCCCAAGCCCTGTGATCTGGAAAACGAGGACTCTGAAATCCTCCATTTTATGTGTTCTGGAAAACTGCTTGAAGCAGAGGACCACCCTTCCGCCGCAGACTTAGACGAGAACCCCGGATGCCCCCTGTGTTCCCTGTGACAGGGCCAGACGGATCTTCCACAATCCCGTTTTTTGCCTCCGCTGTGCTGTATGCCCTTTATGCTGGTGTTTTTGTTTCTTATATGTGCACCCCCCCTTAGTCTGCGCTGTCTGTACCTCAGTTACTGGTGTATGGAAGGTGCCGTGAGTACTGAACTAAAAAGAGTTTATGGACTTTAGAAAAGTTAAAAAAAAATCCTTAAAAACTTTAAAAACACTTGACATTTGGGGACTTTAACACTGTGACCCTGCCTGCTTATGCCCGCGGGGCGTTGTGAGTGAACTACCTACTGGTAACGTCTACACCGCTGTTGCCTTCCTCCCGCCTTTGCCCTGAGCCAGACCTCACAGCCGCGGCGGGTGGAATGTGCAGGACAAAACCAGAGAGGAGAGCTGCGCCGAGACGTACAGAGATTTGCTCAGGGTCCTCTGACCCTTCCACCGAGCACTGGTCAGCACACGCGTGTGAGGGAGCGTGTGGAAGGGGTGGGGGAGCTTACCCGGTGCCTGGTGGTTCTGTCCCTCGTCACTCACAGGGCATCATTCAGCCAGGCTCTGCCTCAGTTCTGTGTGAAGTTACACCCACACTCACACTGCCTCCACCCTGTCTAACAAAGTTTAAAACCAAGACCCGAAAAGCTCCAACCGCACATACCTAACAGCAACCCCAGAACAGAGCTAACTGTTGTGATACAAAAATATCTTGCAGCTGATGAGAGAAAACTCATGATGTCTGACATCCATTCAGACTTACTAGGCAAGCAGAGAGCCAGTAAAATACCTCCCATAATGAAAAGGAAAAGAAGATGGATCCAGAAATGACGCAGATGATACAATTGGTACACAGGCCATTACAAGTCATGACTACTCCAGATGCCAACAAAGCCGAAGGAAGAGGGGACATGTTGACACAGGATATAAAAATCCCACGCAAACTTCTAGAGATTAAAACTACAGTGTCTAAAATGAAAAAAATCTACTTCTTGGGGTCGTGGGCAGCTTCTGAAATGGCTCCCAATTATCTCCACTTCCCGCCTTCAGGCCTGGGTGCCATCAATCCCCCCATTAAATGTGAGCTGGAAGTAGACTTGCTTCTAATGGAAAACATCCATCAGAAGGGATGGCTACCGCTTCCAAGATCAGGTGACAAAAGACCCTGACTTCTCTCGTTTCCACACTCGCTGTGGCACTTCTCGGCTATTTGTTCTCACCAGGCATGCTGCTCTGTGGAGAGTCCCACGTGGTGTGGAACTGAGTGGGGACGTCGGTGGGGGCACTTGGTCCAATAGGCTGTGAGGGACTGAATACTACCAACCGCCGTATGAGAGGGCTTGGAAATGGATCCCACCCCAGTCGAGCCTTGAGATGACCACAGCCCTAACCTACCCCTGATGGCAGTCCGTGAGAGACCCTGAGCCAGAGGGACCCAGCTAAGGCCCTGGATTCTGGGGGCACAGAAACTATGAGATAGTAAATGTCATTTGAAACCACTGAATTTTATTTTTTTATTTATTTTTTTTTTTACAAATAGTTTATTGTCAAATTAGTTTTTACATAACACTCAGTGCTCATCCCCAAAGTGCCCTCCTTCATGCCCATCCCCCCCTCCCCCCCACATCCATCAGTCCTCAGTTTTTGTCAGCATTCAAGAGTCTCTCATGAAACCACTGAATTTTAAATTAAAGTTTCCTATTGTTTACATACCTTTTTATTTTAATGTTTATTTTTTGAGAGAAAGAGACTGTGAGTAGGGGAGGGAGGGAGCGAGAGAGAGGGAGACACAGAATCCGAAGCAGGCTCCAGGCTCTGAGCTGTCAGCACAGAGCCCGACACGGGGCTCAAACCCACGGACTGCGAGATCATGACCTGAGCTGAAGTCGGACGCTTAACTGACTGAGCCACCCCTCCCCGCCCCTTTTTTAATAGAAGTGATTGCTAAGTTCTGGAGACAGGTAGTGGTCACGGCCACACATAGTTACATGGCAGCAGAAAAATATCAAGGGTGGTACCCAGCTGCTGTAACAGATACCCAGGAGTATGGGAGTGGCTTGGACAGAGGGATGAGCAGAGGCTGCAGGGGTGTGGAGGAGCGAGTTAGAGCACACCTAAACTGCCTCTAGCAGGCTATTTGTAGGAATCTGGACTTTGAGAACACTGCCAGGGAGTGTTCAGAAGGGAGTGAGGGACACGGTATTGGAAACTAGGTATTGGGAGGTCTCTTACACGGTGACAAAAACTTGGTGGCACTCTCGACTATGGTCATGTGGAGAGCAGGACATTCTAATGAACTTTGTGATCTGGGCTTGCAAGATTTGCTAAGATTTGCCGAGTATTCAAGGTGCCACCTGATTTCTTCTGGCTGCTGAAGTAGTAAGATGCGAGCAGAGGGCAGAACTTTTTAAAAGGAGCAATTTCTTGATGGTTTAAAAAATCCTCAGCCTCTCCCAACTGCAACTGGTAACTAAAACAGTGCGATTATTGGAGATCAGGTATTGTGGAAAGAAAGGCTGGTGCACTTGAAAACACATCAACTTAAATGAAATGAAACAAAAAAAGACTGAAACTAAATGAGCAGAGCATTGGTGAGCTGTGGGGTGACTTCAGGTGGCCAGATGTGCATGTGTTTGGAATCCTTGAAGCAGAAGAGGGAGAAGAGAAGATAGGGGGGGAAACGGTTGGAGAAATAATGGCGGAAATTTTTCTAAGCTTGATGAAAGCAGTAAGCCCCCAGTTCCAAGAAACAAAATGAGCTCCAAGCACAGGAAATACAAAGGAAATAACACCAAGCATACATCAAAATCAAATTGCTGAAAACCAGTGATAAAAGAGAAAATCGAAAAGGAGCCAGAGGACATTTTGTGTACAGGGAACACAGATAAAGATAATTGCAGACATAATTCATCGCTAGCCGACCTGCCGTCCGAGTCATTCTTTTTCTGTTTTAAGTTTATTTATTTATTTTGAGAGAGACAGAGATAGCGTGAGTAAGGGAAGGAGAGAGAGAATCTCAAGCAGGCTCCACACTGTCAGTGCAGAGCCCAATGTGGGGCTTGAACTCAGGAACCACGAGATCATGACTTGAGCTGAAACCAAGAAGTGGATACTTAACTGACTGAGCCACCCAGGTGCCCCGGAAGTTCTTTCAAAGAAAGGAAAATAATACTAGTTTGAAATCCGTATGTATGCAAAAGAAGGAAGAGCACTGCCAACTACGTTGGTAAATAGAAAAGATTTTATTACTATTTACATCTCTTTTCGTAAAGAATTTGTTGG